CCCGTCACATAAGCTCACAGAGAAGATTCACAGCTAAACTGATCCGACAAGGATGCACACAAGGATGCACACACCATGGAATAAGCAGACCAAAGAATGTCTCTGTGTTTGTGTCTGTAAGTGTGTGTGTGTGTGTGTGTGTGTGTGTAGGCCTGGATTACACTGGTCAAAACACACATCTCTAAAGCATGAAAGGCATGAGCATAAACCCCTCAATGCCACGACGGAGAGGCGTTAAAGGTCCCTAATTACTCAAATGAAAGCCCCTGCAATGTGACTCAGCTCTAATGTTTGTATGAAATCTCCTGATTTTATTTAGGGAAGACTGAGAGCAGCCAAACAGTGTGACATGATGAATAGCACTCAAGTAAAAGCTCAGTGTAATGGATGACTGAATCCTTGTTAATTTAAAAGCAGAGACATTTTCATTGTGGATGCACCCACAGTTATCCCATTAAAAATCCAATTAAGAGGAAGATCCTATATGTGCTGCAGAGGAGAGAACCCCATATGGATCCAGGGGACACTCTGTCTGAGCTACAGCTTCACTGCAGTGCATGACTTAAGAGCAGCACAGTGCTACTGAAAGCAAACCTTGCTGATCAGGTGGGATTAAACATTTATGCGGAAATCATATTGGTGTTGGTCAGATTTGGGCATTGTTACTGTGTACACACGTGTCTTCATTATTATTTTCTTTAGGGTCGTAATTTGCAGCAACAAATTCGTTAAGAAAGCAATATGAGGATCTCAGGAATACTGTTTAATTTTTAAGTATTTTCTTGTTATCATGTTCGATAATTCCTTCTCAGGTTTATTTATTTTATTCTTTTTTAATGTGTTGCAGCATCCAGACAAAAAATTGTATTTTAACATTATAATAAATCTTGCTGTTATTTCTATTTCTCATTAGTTCATCACTGGCCAGAGAAATACCATCGGTTGACTATATGTGGCCATGTGCAGTGTGTCTTTGAATGCAGTGTGACAGCAGTGTCAAACACATATTAGCCTTCTGAACTCATAACCACATGCTTACACAAAGCAAGTGTATATTGGTTGTATAATAAGTTTGAAATTATAAAAAACACTGTCCACTAGCAACGCAGCTAATATTTACCCCACATGTCTATCCCCCCCAACCACTTTTCAGTGCATGCGAGTGTACCTTGTTCCCACCTACCACTGAACATAAACATGATGTCAAATAGGGTCAGCAAAATGAGAGGAAAGACAGATAGAGAGACACAGCCTTTGAAAGAGAGAGACAGAGAGAGATAAATAAGAAGTATTTACCCGCCCTCTGCTCTGCAGGAATGTAATCTTGGCTCGCAACAGAGTGGTAACACAAAGAAACCCGCTGCAACAGCACTACTAAAACAGATACAATAGACATACACACACACACACACACACACACACATATGCATGGGCATGCACTTGGCCTCTATTTCTCAGGCCACAGCCATGATGACAGTGGGTGTGTCAGTTGGCAGGTAGACAAGTTTAAAGTCTAAGCCGTGTACATGTGTGTGTGTGTGTGTGTGTGTGTGTGTGTGTGTGTGTGTGTGTGTGTGTGTGTGTGTGTGTGTGTGTGTGTGTGTGTGTGTGTGTTAGAGAAGTTGAACTGTCGTCTATGGGGGACTGTGTTACCAATCCTTTTTTATGACATGGACAGCAGTGTGTAAACAGGGACCTGCTTCTGGGTTCAAACAAGGTCGCTCCTTGACTACACTCCAGCCCCTAAACGCACACCACATTCGTTAATGTGCATTACTTAATGTGTGTGTCTGTGTGTACCAGGGTGTATTGTCAACCACCCTGTCCTGGGATGGGTGTGGCCTGAAGTAAATGAGGCAAAAACCAGACTGAGCGGGAAATCAAGTAGAAGGAGCAACCAAGATGGGAGGAGAATGAAAACAGGCAGCGGTGGACTAGAATAGGCTTGCATCAAATTAAAGTGGGATGGTACACTACTTATAAGCTGGCAGTCTATCCATGTGTGGGTGGAGTAGAGCTGCAGTGTTACAGTTAAATTACTGTAGAGAGTAACCTATATTATTTCAGACACATTCTAGTAGAAAATAATGAGGCAGGAAATTAGCTTGCTTGCTTCTGGAACCTGAGCTGACTATTATACTCAAATCTGATTAAGAATGCTTTAGAGAACTCAAGTGATTAGCGAAAGTTACTTCCTCAACATAACGTTTAATGCTTCTTCTTGCAGTTTAGTCAGATACACTGCACCGCACTTTTCCACCTGTCTCATCAGTTTTTCTGTCAGCCTTTACAATATGAGAGCAGATATTTAGCTGCAAATAGGAATTGTTGGTGCAGATTCAGAATCAGTGTCTGTTTAGAAGTGAATCATTAATGATTACAACGGTACATTTAAATCAGGGAGTTATGGCAGCCTCTATCCTTCTCCAAATATTTACCCCGTGTAGACATAGCTGAGCCATCTCTGCTGCACCAACCAGAAACACAGGCAACGGAAAGGGCTCTGAGGTTAGAGCCTCGGTCTGAGGCCACTGAACACCCACGTCCCACGCATGCATGTTCATTCTAAGCGCACAGAGACATGCACACACACACCAGCACTTAGTTTCAATTCTATGGCCTAGATGAAAACTTGGTTCTGATTAATTGCCCTGCTTGGGGGTCTTTGATCCACATCTGATTAGTGCCATGAAAATCTTCCCATGAAAAATGGTGATTTAACTATTTTTGCTATTTCTGGTACTCGTTTATTCCCTGCTCTAATTTGCTCAGCATGGATGGAACAAGCGTGGTTTAGTGCAGGACAATTTTGTGTGTGTGATCTCTGCATGTGCATTTAGTGTGAGTTTTCCGTGTGTGTGTGTGTGTGCACCATATAAAAAGGAGGCCAGAGAGAGAGAGAGAGAGAGAGAGAGAGAAGAGAGAGAAGAGAGAGAGAGAGAGAGAGAGAGAGAGAGAGAGAGAGAGAGAGAGAGAGAGAGAGAGAGAGAGAGAGAGAGAGAGAGAGAGAGAGATTGTTGGGGAAATGACTGGGTTTGGGTGTGACCTGCTCAGCTATGCACTGGTGATCATGTGAGACCTGTTCTAATTATACACTTCTCAAGAAGAAGGCCGATCCTCTCTCATGGGCAGAAAGTGTGTGCACATGTGTCCAAGAGGGTGCAGTGTGTGTGTGTGTGTGTGTGTGTGTGTGTGTGTGTGTGTGTGGCGGGGGGGGGGGGTCGACTAGTAAAAGGAGCGATTGGGATTTGTGTGACACAAATAAATTAAGAATTTGCTCTATTTTAACCACCTATCTGGTGCGAAAGTAGAGTAGGCCATGTGATTTTTCTGTGTGGGTTTGTGGGTCTAAGCAAGAGGAAAACCTTAACAATGTGGTGAATGTGTCCATGTTTGTATTTAAGTCCTTATCTTCTGGTGTTTATGTGCAAATAACAACCGTTGCTTCTGTTTTCTCTTTCTCTCTCATACTTCTGCTGTTTCCACTGCGGGTTTCAGAGACCTGCACTGTTTTTCATTTACCAGTGGAAAAAATGGGCCGTACAGTTTAAAAAACTATCCCCCATCTCCATTAATACACAAGTCCTAGTGGAAAATGAACGTAAACTACCTAAAATAGGTCCCTTGGTTCCCTCAAACCAGCCTACATATATATGCCAGCTCTAATGTTCCAGTGGCTGACCTTTACCTCAGCATGAATAACAATTTAAAAACATGTCCTGTTCCTTGTGCCTTTAGATAAAAAGCTCTCCCTAATAATCGGCTAAACTCAGGGTTTGTTTAAAACCTGTTTGATCTGTGACTTTACGATATTGTAACTTTGAAGATCTCAGGAGTTTAGTAGAATAATAGTGGCAATCTCACCCAATAATAATAATGGCCAAACTATGAAAATGGGGCTCAAGATTAGCATTAGCACATTGTGAGGAAACTTGGGGCGAGTTCAGCCTGGGCTTGACAATGTTCCTCTGTCCACATCTGGCTGTAAACACTGTTCTCTGAGTCGACTCACACACGCTGTCCTCATCCTAACCCTGCTCTGTTCACACACTGCCAGTGACCACGAGTCACCAATACAGCGGCGGAATACAAACACACACACACAGCCGAACCTGAGTGGTTGTGTGTCAATGCTGGAAACTTTGGGCTGAGGTCCGCCCATCTTTAGAGATCTCGTGCTCCGATAAAAAGACAGATTGTGAAAGAGAGCGAGAGAATGAAAAAGAGCTGTTTGCTTTACTGCCTTCCTGCTGCTGCCTAAAAATGGAAAATGACTGCATGCGGTGCCCCAAATCTGCCCCTAACTTCACTCTAAAACACACACGCATGTAGAGAGACACAAACATACACCCCCTTTAACTGCCCCTAGGCCTCTACACAGGAAGTGGTTTGACTGAGTGAGATCTACACGGTGACACCATCGCCTCGTTCCTCTCGAGCTGTTGAAACGCGTTGTGCTCAGGGCATCCATATGAGTTTGTACATGTGACAGCCTATTCATCTGAGTTTTGCTGTTCAAACATTGGCACAGAGCGGTGTTTTTCACTTCCAAAGAGTGTGCTGGTTTAGTCTTTAGCGTTTATGTACAGTGTAATCAGTCGGAAATGTGACTGACTCCTAAATGACTGCTAAAATAAGAAGTAGTAAACACCCGCCAAAACACTTCAGCCTGTCCTAGAGAATACCACAGTGCAGTGTTACAACGCCTGACTTCTGCTTCCTGGATCCAAAAAAGCAGAAACTCCACCCCCTTCTCCCCCTCTGTACGCTTGGTCACATGTTCCAGTCACCTGACCAGAAATAGGTGGGAACAAGGAGAGCACATGCTGTGGCCAGATGGCAGCATGATGTAAAAACTGTAGACAACTGCTATTTTCAGTTTGTAACTCCATATATTCACTCAAACGGCCTGTCAGACAGAACATGCTTTCTCTTATCTGTGGCCAATCTGTCTGAGAGCAGACCTCCAGACTCCCTGTTCACCACTTCTCCTTTCTTACCTTGAGTGAGTCGAAGCAAGCGATGACCCGTCCATTGTCCACCTGACAGCTCTTGGCCGGATGAGCGAACTTGCACTCCTGGTCCGAGCGTGAGCATGTGCCCCTCTGGAACTCCCTACATACCTCCAGGGTCAGCCACTTTGTGTCACGGATGTGTGCCATGCTCATAGCCATGGCGACACGCGGCTAAAGGTTATGCCGAGTTGAAATCTGTTCGAGCGTAAATAAAGTACTTCTTGTGTTTTAATCCACAACTTATAGGTCTTTTTTTTAGTTTATTTGTTGACAAGTCTGTGATAGGTGTTTGTGACGTTGAATGAAAACCTTGAAATACACTTCCTGTTGATTGAGCGAGGTTGTTTCCAGAGTGAAATGTTGCAGGACGAATGGTATTAGTTAAGTTTTCCTGATCAATCAATCACAGAAGAAGTGTTTGTATCCAGGTGATGACTTTGCCTAACAATGAAGATGCCACTCTTGGCCCGACCTTGCTTGCTCAGCGATCCCAACTAAAACATTCACAAGCCGAGGAGGCAAGCACAAGAAGCCGAGAGCCCTCTGGTTGTGTGCAGTGGAGCAGGCAACGGAGGTGATAGTCTGGGTGTAGCCTGCTACAGGGTTGTGTGGAGGCTTAGAGGGTTGAAGGCGAAGGTTAAAAGGCAAGGTGGGTGAGATGCTGCGCTGGCCTGGTGGTGATGGGCTGCTGTAGTAAGGCTGGTCAGCGGGCCGCCAGGTGAGGAGAGCTGAGGCTGGAGCCCGGCTGCGAGGAGTTGGTGGTGATGGTGGTGGGTGAACGAGCAGGTCGGAGCGTATGCTGAGAGGTGGGTGTGGCCGCTGTCCTTACACTCGTTTTATTGTGGCAGCAAGCGTGCGAGGCGGGGGGGAGGGTCTGGCTTCAGCTGTAGAAGCAGGTCGAAGCTGCAGCAGACATCAGGGAAGGCACTTCCTCTGGGGAGAGATAGAAATGAGGGAAAGAAAGATTAGATTGATGATCAGATCTAAAGAAAACGTTCAGGTTTATCTCTCTTCCATTTATCTTTCATATGAGGTTCTGACCTGCAGCATATTTTATCTGCTGCTAAGTTATGCAGCTCTGGGCATAAATAATATGTAAAAATGTCAGAAATGCAGGGGTGTCAGCTTAAACAAATAAAACTTTCACCCGCCCTGCACTCTAAACACACATGGTGCGCACACGCTCATCACGCCACGCCAAACACACACTCACACAGAAATGCACAAAGCAGCTATTCACAACTTTAAACATCTCCTGGTTAATGCAGGAAAATCTGATCAAATCCTCTGTCACTTACAGTCGAGTACAGCAAAGCCGGCCATTGCAAATGTGTTTAGAGGTGAGAGAAAGCAAGAGACTGAAAGCAGAGGGGAAGTTGAGGCAGGGCAGAAGGGAGAAGAGGTTAGTCATTTCCCTTCTTGCGAAGCGGTGTGAGAGTGGGGACCAATGAGAGTTTGCAGAGTTGCAGCAACATTCTGGGCTGAGCGCCAGGTGAGAGCAGGGGGAGGAGCAACGAGGAGGCTGACCTGCATGCTGCTGGAGGAAGAGAAAGAGAGACAGGCTGAACTAATCACTCTATTTCTAAGACTACCTGATTTATCTGCAAAGATTATATGTTTCTTCAAACCAGCCTGATGATATTGTTCTCCATTAACACGAGAATTTCTGAATAAAAAACACCACCATGAACACTGCGGTGATCATCTCAGACAGAAATGAACTGCCTGCTGGGATAATAGCATGTGTAGTTCAAATGATCAAATAAAAAAATCCATTGGTTTTCTTTCAGGGAATTTGAATGATGTGGTTCCCCGTGGGCCCGGGCAGCTCTTATCGCACTGGCAGGGTAACTCACCACACCCTGTGTGGAGAAATCGCTTTTCCCAGAACAGCATTTGCACCTTCAGCAATGCTATGAAACCACGTCTTACTTTACAGCACTGCAACACTGCAACACACTATATCAGAGCCCTGCAGCAGTACAGCCCAGGGCATAATGAGCCAGCAACATGGATATATGTTACAGAGGGAAGGAGGGGAAACTGCTCAGTTTCACCTTGAATGACCCCAAAGCTAGCAAAAGTAGCATAACTGCTAGAAACGACCTTTGGAGTGCAAGCACAATCAAAACACATACGCTACGACAGCCCTACCCCCATAACACACATGCACAGGCACACACACAGCCAATGAGCTTCCATATCATGCACTTAATAGCGGAGACTAAAATAAATACACTTTTCATTGAGAAAATACTTGCTATATGTGAGCAATCATTTTTTTGTCAGTTTTAAAAGACTTTCACGCCAAAAACATTTTTGACTTTGGGCTTGATTGAATGTTTTGGAATAAGATTTCATTTTTTTTATTTTAATTGCTGTAAAAATGTGGAGTCAGCCTACACTAATCTTACTGTGTAACCCTGTATGCCCCAAGGACCTGTCAATTACTGCTGATGTTACATGTGTTTATTGCTACAACTCAGACTGATAGGGCTGATGGCAACACACTTTTATTACACAAACATACATTCAAATAAGTTCAGGTGTACTCTGAACAGACTAAACTCAAGCCAAAGCTGGACTTGAACTCATTTGGTGGAATATAAATATGTATTATAACATGTTTAAAAGGTACCATGGGTCTGTATTCAATTAAATGAGAAAATGTGATGAGTTCATGCATGAAAACACCCTTCTTTGTCTGTCTGGCTTCCTAATCGGTTTCTATGGTTTCTATTAGATGAGCACATATTTGTGAGAGTGAGAGACAATCTAGAACGGAGTAAGACAGTGCCAGAGTGATAATGAGCGCTCATTATGATCCATCATGTCTGGACATGGGTGTCCCACTCATATTGATTTCTGCAGCGCCATGGTCTTTCTTGTCAGTATGCCACTCCCTCTATTTAATTCCACTTTGCTTGTCTGTGTTCCCTGTCTCCAAGGCATCCGTTTCAAATAGATTGATGTTGAAAACAAACTTCTTCTCCTCTATAACCAAAGAACAGTTTTTTTAACCAGCGGATCCTACTCTACTTTGTTCTCCCTGATTTGTCCAGCCCTCCCCCCCCCAACTCCATCCATGCCCTCAATGTGACTGTCTGGCCGACGTTCTCTTCCAGCATTCCCAACAGCACTCCCTGAGACTCCAAGGTCTTGCAAGCTGGTGCAAGGTCAACCACACTGGAGAAAGGGAAGATGATGAGAGAGAGGGGAGAAAAGAGAGAGAGAGAAAGAGAGAGCAACCGTATGCTTCCTATCACCCTTCAGGACACGTGGCAGAAACATTAAATGGCTGCAAGAAGAGGAAGTGTGTGTTTCCAATATGAGCCCATCACCATCAGCTTACGGCCATGTGACACTAGCATATGCCTCAACAGCACAAACGGTTTCCGGCATGAAAAGTAAACCTGTCCGACTTTCTCTTGGTTATGAGTCACAAAACAAATCTGTTCACGACGCGTCAGAGACGCTGTTGAAGTACACTCCTCACCTCAACGGAAAGCGCCAACTGCGCAATACTGTCAATGATTTGCACGGTGGGCTGTGATGGATGGCACTCAGACATTATGAGGTAGTTCTTTTTTTAAAACAGAGTGATGTTTTTTTTGTTAAGGCATGTCTCAATTGACTAAAAGAGTTAGAGCAATCAAAGAGACACGCTTGTTTTGAAGTTGTCATGTGAATAACAAAAAGGTGTTGTTCACAGTCATGTCAACACTTATTGTTTAAAATTGGACATGTGGCACATTATACATGTAGCATATCTTGATATCAAAGGGCATTAGTTATCGGAGAATCTGCTGTTCGCATAATCGCATAGGAATCTAGAAAGGTACTAGTATCTATCAGGTTAGTAATGTTTCCCATAAACCTGCTGACAAACAAACTGAACCGAAGACGTAAACCCATTGCTTGAGGTAATAACTCATAGTGGTTTACTGATGCAGTAAGCACATGCTTGTTATATTGCAAGGTCTTCTAAGGCTACCCTTAGAAAACATAACTTGTATCCGAACCTCCTATAGAAGGAAGCGTCCTTCTATAATGGTTTGCTGCTGTTCAGTAAAAGGAGTGGTTTCAGCATATTGACAGAGGTGGATTCAGGGTGACAGTGTGCTGAGGCAGGTCATCTCAGTGGAGGACGTTGGAGGAAATGCAACACCCCAGGCCTCGCTCCTGCTGCTACATGTGCTCAGAATATAGCATGTCAATATTGCCCTCACTGACCTTAGCACATACATACACACCAGTGCGTACTGTATATGGACACGTGAGGAGGGTGTACTCCTCGCTGCTTCTTCATGCTTTAACGTTCTGACACACACATGCTTTCTCGTTTGTGAAGAGATTGCACCAAGTATGGGTCTGCATAAAATGAGGGCTAGAGCAACAACACATTGAATTATAAAATATGATGCGTACACTCTATCTATCTATCATTTATTTATTTATTTCAGAGTGTGAGTAGAAGCTAAGGATAAAAAGAGTTCACATGGAGAGCAATGCTCCAAAGGGTGTTGGGAAAATAAAAACTCTGTTCATTCTTGCTAATTTGAGTACCATTATTGTTATTGACCTCCTTTTAGCCATTAGCATCAAGTCGTCATATTCTCTCAGCAATGAGTTAAATTCACTAATTTATCTACAGATTAAATAGCGTGGTTTCTGAAAGGGTGTTTTAGGCTAGGAACGCACAACAAACAATGCCTATTGATTCTTCCGAGAGAAAACCATTGGAGACAATTAGATCTCTTGTTTAGAATACATGGACAGAGCTTTTGACGAACACACACACGTACACCCCACAAACACCCAAATGCAAACACATACAAACACACAAACATCTTGTTGTCCTGAGAGAGGGTATTCTTAAGCTGTGGTGAATATCCGACTGTGTGTGCAACACTGCATCTTTGTGTGTGGGTATGTGTGAGAGTGTGTGAGAGTGTGTGTCTGCGTGTGTGTATGTGCGCGCACGTAAGGATGTGGTTAAGTCAAGGGACGATGAGGATAATGTCTGGCATTATGGTTTAATGAGTGGCTCATTAGCTCACATGTATGCTATCTATGTCCATGTGCTGGGAGATAGTCAGGCTGCTTTCCACATGGGCAGAAAGGTTGAGAAAAATCGAAATAAATTATAGGACAAAAAGCAAATACAGAAGATGAAAGATTTTACGAGTACTATAATAATGTGTGTCATATGTCATGACCTTAGCAATTGCCAATTAAACACCTGTAGGGAAATTTGTATCAAGTTCATTATATAGGAGAAAATGTCTTGGAGGAATGGTGTAAGACGTGTAAAATCCATGGCATGTTTAATTGAAGCAGTTCTGGCAGATCATGTTGGCCTTTTGCAGTTTATTTAGTTTTTTCCCCTTTTTATTTTCTATCCATTTGTATAGAAGTCTCGCTTAACCTAGTTGCTCTCCCATAATACAAACCTATATATTTATATTACACTATGAAATAAATATTATACATTTAAATGAGCTCAGACCTTAATGACATTGATGGACCTATCAATCTATCGTATTATTTACATACACAGAATTCCTTGGTGTCGAAAGATGTCATAAATAAAGTGCGCCTAGTGGTTTTGGCATACTTTATTAGACATGGCGGTTTAGCTTCTTTATTGGTGTATTACATGCAAACATACTTTCCCATTGAGCCATTTTATCGTCTGCAATAGTAATCTATATTTAAATAGTCACTCATTTTCATAAAGAACAGGTCTCATCAACTGGCTTGTGTTATAGTGGGTCTAATACATCGAGGCAAACCGACCCAGTGCCGTCACACGTATAGGAACAGAGGCAAGGCAGGGGGGTAGCTAGAAAGAGACTGAGCGAAAGAGTGTGACTATTGAGGCAGGGGTGTGTTATTAAATGTAACTGCCATCTATCTCTGCTTCAGAGACGGAGAGGTTTAAGATGTCAAGGCAGGAGCTGATGCAACTGCGGTGAAGAAAAACAAGGACAGGCATGTGTTGACACGTGTATCTCTGGACACAACAACGTACTGCTCGCCCTGCTTATTATCACTGTTGTGTGCTTCATACTGCTGAACACTCTGTGTGTTTCCTTTATACTGCAATATCTGATAAACAATCATTACTGAAGGCCTGAATAGAATAAAAATAGGTCAACACCATGGCAAGTTAACAGCTAAAATGTGTCTGACAGGGGTCGCGTCAGTTAATTTTAATTTAGCTTGGATTAAGTTAAGTGAAGGGTTTCCTACGCAGACAGAGCTGTGTCAAACTCTTACTCAGAGGGGCTGAAATGTGGTCATAACACAGTAGGAGCATACAGAGAAGCCCTCGTGTAATAAAGGCTTAACCTGTCAGCGCAGATTCAGCCATGCACATAATCCTGTCTGTGGGGCATTCCCTAGATCAGGGGCTACACACATAAATGCAGGGTAGTTTGCACCTAAAGTCAGACACACACATATACAATAATACCCAGAGAGCCATGTCATCTTTGACATTATTAGCCATGGTATTTTCATTGACAACAACAGCACGTTCCTCAGGCTCCTGTTAGACAGAAATGGATAGTCTACCAGCAGCAGAGGGATGAAGTCTCAACAATGCAATCTGCCACACATCTGTCTGTGTTGCGCATGCTTGCATGTGTGTACATACTGTGTGTGTGTGTGTGTGTGTGTGTGTGTGTGTGTGTGTGTGTGTGTGTGTGTGTGTGTGTGTGTGTGTGTGTGTGTGTGTGCGCGCTACTGTCTGAGCCACCCTGAGTCCCTCTTAGTCACAACAACAACATTCCTCCTCATTGCCCCAACCACGGACACACCACCAAGAGGAAACCCAGAGAGGGCGAGGGGGAGGAGGGCAGAGGTGGCAGCGAGAGGGACAAAGGAGAGGGGATAAAGTTTAGAGCTCTGACAAGCCTCTGAAATAAACACCATATGTATTTTACCTGAATTGTGTCCTGCTGTTTTCAGAGTTTTTGGAATGTTCCAAAAGAAGTAATGCCTGCCAACACTTGAGATGTTTCTGACAAATAGCCAGACAGAATCGCACGTAAGAAAGCCCTTTCAGTCTGTTCACCTTAGAATGATCCAGACAAGCTTAACATAACTCCTTACAGAGTTAAACATTACAGGGTAAGAAAAACATAACAGGGCAATCTCAATTTAACTCCCAAAGCCTTAATAAAGTACAAAACGACTTACTTTCATTCCAGTACAAACATCGACAAGTAAAATCCCTCCATTTACCGGGTCTCCTTCTCCCTGTCTCTCTCGTTCTTGCCCCTCTTTCCTTCTGTCTTCAACTTTCTTCCTCTCTCTCAAGTACTCCCCCTCTGTCAGACGCATGAAAACACTCACTTAGTCACATACACACACACACACACACACACACACACACACACACACACACACACACACACACACACACACACACACACACACACACACACACACACACACACACACACACACACACAACACACACACACACACACACACACACACACACACACACACACACACACACACACACACACACACACACACACACACACACACACACACACACACACACACACACACACACACACCACACACACAGAGACAGACAGAGTCACCCTCTCACACACTCTCTCCTCCCGCGACCCGGAATGCTTGGCAAGATTCGACTGTACTGAAATACTGTGCTCACCATATAAGGTAGCAGCAGCTTCACATGTCACACGTAATTTACATGCAGCGGGGCGGGAGTTTTGCCTTACATACGTAGAAACACACATGCAAAACCATGCTTCCCCCTTGAGGCTGACGCAGCAAGGGAGGGAAGAGGGACAAGAGAATCACATTTTACCATTCCTCGTGTTAACTAAGCCCTGCAGGATAACTCCCAACATGTCCAACGTTGAGTCAGATGGAGGGAATGAAAGCTGAGTGGGCGATCTATTGATCCTCTCCACTGCTTCCTGGAACAACCATGGCACTCCAAACACACACACACACACACATACCAGCAAATTTCCTTGCTAACTAGCGCTCCCCTCAGGAAGTAGCTATTGTGTGACTGTCTGCTTGGAGCCAAGAATGTGTCTTATTGTGTGTCTGTGTGTGTACGTGCATGTGTGAGACTGACTTTATCTATAAAACAAGCTGTAACAAACCAATGTTAACCCTATGGCCCACATACTCAACCCGCACACACACACACACACACAGACACAGACACACACACAGCAGACACTAAAGCAAACAATCCCCTATATGTCTACCTATGTTCCAATGCACAGAATGACACTTTGGAAAGTAAAAGCTGCAGCACACACAGGAGGAAAGATCTAGATAAACCAATGAGACAAGGAGGAGGGTTATGAACCAAGCTCTTACCTCTCACATTGCTCTCAAGCTTGTGTGTGTTTGCTTCCGTGTGTTGATAGGCTCTGTGTTTATGCGTGTGTTCAGACAGGCCGCGACAGCAGACCCCCAGGCACCGGCTGGACCATTCTCAGGCAGGCAGGCAGAGAGCAGCAAGGCAGAGCGACTGGCAGAAGACAGGCAAGCGAGTGAGCGAGTGAATCAGCAGCGAATGAGTAGAGGAGCTGTGCGGAGCCGAGCGCCAGAGTGAGAGAGAGAGGAGTGTTTGTCTGTGTGTGTGTGTGTGTGTGTGTGTGTGTGTGTGTGTGTGTGTGTGTGTGTACGTTGCAGAGTTGGCTGTGTGCGCTAGTGTCTCCCCTCCCCTGCCTCTTGAAGTGGATGTGCTGGGCTGTGTCTCTACTGACTTCCAGCCTCTGGATAAATATCCGTCTGCTGCCCGAGGAAAGTGCTGCTCGCTGGGTGGCAGTAGCAACAGCTGTGGAGGAGGAGGAGGAGGGAGAAGAAGAAGAGGAGGAGGAGGGAGCCTACAGATCCTGCAGACTGGGCATACAGATCCTGCAGTCCCCTCTCCCACCCTCTCTTCCTCACTAAAGGCTGGCCACGCCCCCCTTAAAACAACACCAGGAAGTACTGGTTCACTTGCAGCAACACTGCCCTTGCCTATCCAATGAGGCTGAGGAAGGAGAGAGGGAAGTGGAAGGAGAAGAGGAAACATTGGGAAAGCACAGGAAAAAAGACTAAGAAACTGAAAAAAAGGGAAGTTAGTAACAGGATGAAGATAGAATCGAGGAAAGGCCATGCAAGGTGAGGAAGGGCATCAGAAAGGAGAGCTGGGTTTAGTTGTTAAATATTAACAGAGAAGAAAGACAGATACGGAGAAAAACAGCAGTTGGAAAGAATGAACAGATGAAGGGATGTGGAGGAAATAATTAAGGAAAGAAGGGAGTTTACAACTAATTTAGTCTAACTTCTATCAGGTGTCCCCCTTTTGCTGTGGCATGCAGCCCTCAGACCCCTCAGCACAGCCTCACATTAACAGCTCTTGCCCGCACCATCAAAGCAGGACAGATCGAACTGCACTAAATCTAAATGAGCTACGCTAGTAAGTGGCTATACATCCAGAATAACACCGAGCGTGTAAATACTCTGGAAATGGCTATTAAAAAGATGCAGACCAGTGCAGTTTGGTTGCAGGTCAGCAACATATTTAAAAAAAAAAACAGAAGGCTAACCCAGACAACTGCTGCTGCCATATTTCCTGTATTGTTGTTGACTCAAGGCTTCTGCCGCCCCAACCCTGTGCATCCAGGGGAAAGCCAGGGAGGCTAAAGGAGCCTCCAAGAATGTGATTTGGACCTGATGCTGCAATATCCGGTAGCCATGGAGATAGTGGCCTTGGCATCTGCAGGATTCTTTACAGGTTTTGAGCAGTGTGCTGAGGCCAAGTTTTCTGTCTGGTATAATGTCCATGACTCACTTCATTTGATTGTGATCAAGGAGAAAGTGCATTCATTATGCCGCCTAAACAAAAAATAGCTATTCAATTTGTACTTTTACAAAGAATGCAAATTCCAATCATTGCAAGTGAATTACGTTTCTACTGAGATTGCACCTGCGTCCATATTCTCATTTAAGAAACATTTCTTTCTTTCTGGTGTATTTGCCAAAAGATGGACAACCCTGAAAGAATCCATCAATGCTTCCCCTGTGTAAAACTGTGACACCTGCCTATGCCTTTCTTCTATCATTTTCTATCGCTGCAACTCTCTGTTCAATAAAAAGCCATCTCTAATTCACACAGCAGGCCCTTAAACCCCGGGTGACAATCTGTGGTAGAGCCCAGTCGCAGTGCTAACCCTTTACCTTGCCAATGTTCTGGGGCAGTGTACCTCTGAACTCAGACAGACTAAATAACGTGTTAAATACCCCCAGACAAAAGGAAGACGTCATAGGAGGCCGTAGCACTAGTGTGCTGAGGTGATCAAATGTTGATAGACAGTGCTATAATTGGCTACAACAGCAAAGTGCATGCCTCGATCTATTTCCAACCGTCGTTCATTAGTGATGGAAGGAGATCTATTTCCGACTATGGAGACAGCCCTGCTACACAAACAGTATGACTTTTACATTAGCAGAGCAATCCGTTTGACTGCCAATCAATGGAAGCAGCAGGTCGCTCTAACCGACGAATGGAGTTTTCGTTGAGCCATAATGAAGAAACATGGTGATTGATGGTGATCGGCTCAATAGGAGACACATTAGCAACGCCTCCAAAGTTTTGGGCTTTCTGTGAAACTCAGACTCTGACGTGGAATTTCCCCTCTTCTTCTGCAGCTGAGTGTGAGCCAGTGCTTCTGCTCTTTTCTTTCGCTGCATCTGTTTCCTCTGCCATGCTGGTCCATATTTCTCATTCTCTATGAGCCTGTTTTCACCCAAGCAACTTGCCTTTTTGTCCGAACTCGAAAAGTTCTTATCCCACTACACTACTCAGAGGTTTGATTACAGAGCCAAGCTTTGAAGATACCAGATGGTTTTCTCATTCAGTTCTATGACTTTTATTATGCATTTAGGCTGATCAAGTGTACAGCAGGAGACTGTTTCTCCTTTTTCTATTTTTTCTATTTGTATCTTTAGCAGTCATACACTTTAACTTCCTGCTCCATACGTCTTGTGTCTTGCAGATAAGAGGATGGTGTGACCGTTGTTCTCTATAGAAGATCAATGAGGCCATAGAGCTGTTTAGGTATGAGCAAAGCGCACCAGAAATCAACTTCCTTGGTGTTGAGCAAACTGTTCACATGCATAACCAACTGAAAACAGGAAGAGGTGTGTGTGTACGTGGCCTAGTTAAAGGGGAATTCCAACCATTTTACACATCAAGGTTAGTGAGCTAGTCATGGGTGAAAAAATAAAGTAGTACATTTCTGAAAAGTAGCAAGTAAAAGAGTCGTTTGACACAGAAACTCGGAATATTCTAGAAACTCTCTCACACACTTCATCCGTCACAAATAACCGTAAACCAACACAGTCTGGCATGGCTGACCCCATCTGCCTCTGTAAAGCCATCAGATCCTAACCCCTCATCTTCGTCCACCCTGATATTCGCTCCCTCCTCCCTGATGAATGCAACTTTCCACCTTAAGCTTCCCTATCATCTCAGCGCTCTGCTATTTCCCAGCCGTCTGTAAATGACACTGGCTGGCTGATGTGAACTCTCACTCCACCGAGGAAATGTTCCAGAGCCTGTGTGTGCCAAACTCTGACGGCTCATCTATCACCAAGGCCGCAAATACACATTACACCCCCATTACAGACCATCACAGCAACAACTGCAACAGTACACAGTCTTGCAGAAAAGGTCCCGCAGCTTGGAGATGCATTCAACGTCTGCCGTTTCACAATCGTTTATTTTGGAGGGTGCCGAATGAGAAAGCAAAGTAGTGCTTTGAAGACACGAAAAACAATATGTTTTGCGTTTTACTTTAGAATACACTGGGAGCATCCCTCGTAAACCAAAAGTGCAGAAAAATGCGATATATTACCGAAAAATGTACAAGTGGGAGAAATTGTAACTGTGTATGTGGTTAAAGCTAGTCATTTATAGTGTGCATATTTGCAGACATTTCCCTGCTGCATACTTGTGGTCTTCGCTCAACTTCTATCCACTTTGACGCAGTAAAGGGAAGCAGGTGCAATTCAAGCTGTCACGTTTGAAATACAGAGAGGAAATAGCACACTGTCTTGTCCCCATCTGACACCATTGTGTGTGTGTGTGTGTGTGTGTGTGTGTGTGTGTGTGTTCGTGTCTTCAAGCTTGAAGCTTATCTTGAAGATAAAATGCAAACGAATGGAAACACCCTTTGCAAAGAGGCACTCCAGCTTTCAGTCCTTTTTCTGTGTAAATGCAACCCGCAGACACACTGCTGCACATGTCAAAGAAACCTTACATCCCAAACCTCTTACAAACTCTAACTCTATGCCAAGTTGTATAATGGGGAACATTATAGCAAACATTGGCTTTCCTAGAGTTGATCAAACGTACGTCTTTGCAAAGTAGCGTAAAAAATGAGTTTGTTCGTCACAAATAACCCAACTCTAAAACCGTAATAAATAAATCCAAAGAAAACACTGTATAATACCAAAAGTCATTGAACCTTAGTTATCCAGAAAGTGATTTTAGAACCAGCTTACCTGTGTGTCTGTCTATCGCTGAGGCACCACTGGGACAGAGGAAGTCACTTCAACACAGGTCACACTGACGCAATGCACTATGGGTTGAACCTCTTCATTTGTCTCTTTCTCTACCCATCTCACTCGTCTCTCTCACTCTCATAATAGCACCTTCTGCTTGGCAACGGCCATACCACAAATGTGGTCAGGTTTGCAGCGAACCATCACTGCGCAACATCAAGTCTCCATGACAACCACTCCTTATCTAATTTGCATCTTCTGCTTGCATTATCTACTGGAGCCAAATATGGTCGCCTTGTTTTTCCCCCCGCCTCTCTCTGCATCCCCTTTTTATAACTTCCTCTTTCGCTTCATTTTCACATCTCTCTGTACTTAGCGGCTAATGTATATGCACACATATGCAGCCTGTGAGTATGAAAAGAGGAAGTGCCTCTGACATTAGACAGTTTGCAGCATAAAAGATAAGCACTGAAACAGCTTTTCAAATCAGGAAGTGGAGTGTTGTAGAGGCTGCTGTTGAGGTACTTTAAAAGGAAGGAGAACTGCAGCATGTTATCACAATCCTCCCATGGCAGGTACATCGTCACAACATTTCACTTACCCCCTGAGTTCTTTTCCTGTGGACTCGATTTGGGCATTTGGCCTCCTCCTCTTTCTCCCCAAAGGACTGCGTCTATCAAACTATCAGTGGTATGTTGAACCAGGCCCCAGGAGCCCACACGTACAGCAACACTCAGCAGCACTCAGCACCTGTCTCCGACTGCAAGCCGGAGAAAGAGACGCGGTCAATCACACTGGACAGTGCAGCAAAGAGAAAAGAGCAGTGGAGAGTGGGAGGCAGACCAGCTTTTTATCAGCAGAAAAATACATACAGAGCCGATGCTATGCTACACGTCACACGATGGCTTAAGCACTCACTTTGTTGAATATAAACATTATTAAGTCAAATGTGGAAATGTGTATTTACCATAAACAAGTTGCAGCCTCTGTCTCATGCCCATGTTGTTCAAATATGTGACCACATGGTAATGCAAATCGGCAAGTCTCTTCCTTTTTCAAACATAATGTTGCATTTTGCACATGTGAA